CTGCAGCAGCAAGGCTTGGAGAGATGCATTTACTGGGAAACAATGGGCTGGTGAAGCAGCTCTGCAACGAGCGTGTATTCGTGCTGGGTTGCTCTAAGGTGCTGAAGAAAGGCTTTTTGCTTGCTTAGACCTACCAAAGGAAAAGTGCAAGTAACAGAGCTACCACGGGTTGGATGCTTCTTACCATGGTGCCTGAATAGTCTGTATAATGCCCAAGGATTCTGTCCCTGCTTCTGGCAGGTATTTTGCTTCCAGTGTTGGGCACATTTCAAAGGAGACAGTGACAGACAGCTCTTAGTTACAAGTTTCTTATAGGCATTTAAGTGTGACACAGAAGTCTTTGCATTCTAAATCCATACGCACTTAGTAAAAGATCTGATGGCAAAAGGAGCTGACCTCTGAGGTCATTTAGACTCTGATCTTGCAAATACAAGCTATGCTTAAGCATGAGAATCAGTATTTAGATAGACCAGTAACAGCCACTGAAAAGGTGTCTTTTGACTTCATTAGGATGATTTTTATGTACAAGGATCAATGTACGATGATGTGTTTGGCAGTTTCCCACACAACGGTTGCAAGGAGATGAAAATACTTCACTATCGAGAGTATTTTCTATCAGAGCAAGGCTAAACCCTGCAATCCCTTCTCTCCAACACTGAAAAACAATGTAAACAAGTCCACAGTTCAACTCTATTTTCACAGACCTCCTTTTATTGCTGCATGTATTCCTGCCTGACCACTTCGGCTTGTCTCAAAAGGCGAGAAGGAATCTGTTAAGCTCACAGTCAATGCACTCTGTTTCCACATTCTCCAGACAGAATGTTAAGTTACCCATGCTCTGATTGCTGTCACTCATACAAAAGATGAGGAACGACACCGATTTCATCCCTCTGGTATCCGGCTTGTTTCCAAAGGCTGATGGAACAAGCACTTTATGACACTAAAAGCAAGGAGCCAAGCTGACTTACCTCCACTTTAAGGAGCGCACAGCCTTTCAGGAACTCTTGAATATTACTGATGCAATCGGCTTCATTTTTAGGCTCCAGGCAGTGCTAAAGAAAGAGAATCCACTGAGCTCATTGCATTACCTCCTGTCTAGGCTCTATTCAGGGGGCTCTGCATGAATATTGACATGTGCAGTTTATACTGAATTAGGGAAGCTTCTGGAGGGGGCGGCTGGGGGAGGCAGGCAAGCTGTCGAAGCAGGAAGAGCCAGCCACTGGAGGAAGTGATGCACACATCGAGATGGTCGGCATCTTGTGTTGAATGTCAGCAGATGTCAGTGCCCCAAGCGGCAGTGGGAAACGGGTGACCTTTAAGAACACACTGCACCCCAAGCATCACATATGAGCACAATCGGGAGCTCCCAGTCAGCAAAACTGATTTGTGCACAAGAAATAAAGGCTCCTGTCCTACAGGGTGGAGAAGCTGGTGTTTTCTTTCTTTTTAATTAAACAGCATTCTCCTCTGTGTTGCCATTTCCTATCTCTCATTGGACTCCTTCCCTTTTTGCTCCTCTTGCAGCAGCTTACCACGCTCTTGGCTGGTCTGAATATATCCCCTGTAAAACTACAGCAGGAGCTTATATAGCTTCAGTACCAATGGATTTGCATGGATGCAAGGTTTGTGTTTTATTCCTGACTAACAAAGTGTTTTACACTAAGAGTTCTGAAAGAGTGAATACATTTACAGTTGTAGCTAATGGCATTTACGTAAATACAGACAAACTGCATCTCCTTCTATTCAAAACCAAGCTATTTTGATCTCTGGTAGGCCCGGTATTTCCTGCCACTGGATGAACATGTGTAACTTAGCCAACTGCAAACTTCTGGTGGTTTTTCCTGCCTGTAGAGACGAAATCAAAGGACTAAAGCTACAATTGCACCGTCCCCTCAATTAGGTGCCAGTAAGTGAGATGTAAACCATGTCGCTGATACTCCTTGCTCACCTTACCAAAGCAATGCACAAAGCAGGGCAGGATTTTACTGTTTCAAGCTCCCAAAAATGCATCGTAAGAGAGCAGTTACCTTTTCAGCAGATCCCGGAAGCAGTCGATTGATGAGTTTACAAAGCACAGTTCCATCTTTGAGAGCAGCTTTCAGGAACTCTTCGGGATCATCTACTGTTTTCTTTGGGGAATTTAACACTCCTAAGGAAATCAGCCACGTTACAGTTTGTTCTTCTGGATTCATCCTGGAGCGCTGTGCCGCCAGCGCAGTTCTCCTGTGCAGCAGCTTGCTGGAACCCACATCCGTGATTACATCTTCCTGCCTCTGCTGCTGCTTGCACAGCTCCAGGGTGAAACTACGTTTTTTTTTTGCTCAGCACAGAAATTCACCAAAGCTTAAGAACCAGAAGTACTCTTCCTGGGAGGTAACAAACTTGTTCTCGAAGCAAAAGAGCTTCTAGCGCTCTGTTAAAGACAGTCAACCACACAGTTCCAACATCACTGGAAATAGAAGTGGTTTATGTGGATACTGGTTCCACCAAAAGCATTAGAATGGTTTGGGTTGGAAAGGACCTTAATAGCATCTAGTTCCAACATACCTAGTGACTTTCTCCTTCTGGTAGCCTGGCAAATGTGGGCTTTACTTACAGCTATTGTCCCAAGAAACAAATTTGTCTTTACTACTGTAAATAGAGGTATTTACAGTTTTAAAACAGAACTGCACACTAAAGAGGATTGGGAGCAGCATTACACTGACTTTAAATCAGCCTTTTTTGACTTCATGGGGCAAACCTAGTTATTAAAATTGCCTTTTAAGAGTTGTTTTCAAGATCTGAATTTTGAAAATGAATTCTGATCATGCACTGTATGCAGAAAAAACAATGGGGGTTTTCAATTGCTTTATGTAAGTGCACATTTAATCCAAATTGGGGCTCGGGAGATGCTAAATCTCTCAAACATCTGGATAACTTAGGAAAGTTCATAAAATTAAGTCCTCCAAAGCTGAGCATTAAGCTTCCCAGCTATTTCACTCATCCTGTTAAAATGTCCCTTTCCACCAGCAAGTCAGGATCCACCGGAATTAATCAGTTTCACCTGCTCTGGGGCTGTATTAACCATTACTAGTGATCAGAGTAACTTGAAGAAATCCAGTTGTCCTGACACCTTAACTGTCCTTTCACCGGAAGAGATGGAAAGTGAAGTCATTCTCCATTTATGATGCCAAAGAAGTTGGAGCAGCATGGATTGAAGCAATACCATAGGAACAAATATCCTACAGACCAGCACTGCACAGTGACAACGTTCTGAGCCAATTCTTAATCCTGTTATTTGAAGCAACTGTTTTGAAGATGTCAGTGGTCTCAAACTGCTTAGGGTTAGTGATTTAAAGGGTAGGAACAGAACAGCAGAAGGATAAATTACATACAGTAAACATGCTTGGGTTTGCATCTCCACTTTCCAGGTCTTATGCCGGCTCCTGGGACCTACTTTTAGCAGCCACCAGTAAGAAATCAGAATTGCTCTTTTAGGGTTAGACACATTTTGACCTTTGTGAGGACGGGCTGAGTTCCAGTTCTCTGCTCTAAGGACATGGTAGTAACATATAGCTGCAGACAGTGGGAACAGTAAAGCCAACTGAAGCTCCATCGAACTCATTGCCATCTGGTGAAGTGCATCTACAACTATCTATATGTCACAAAACACTGCAGATTTATGACTGATTACAAGAACTTGAGGGGTTTTTCTCCTTTCTCCAGTTCTCATGAGCACTATTTTGCAGAAGTGAGACTTGCACTCTCCACTTTCAAAGCTTGCATTTTCTGGAGTAGCCAAAGACAACTAAGGCTCAATGACCTACAGGGGACAGTCACTGGTACATGGAGACACCCACTTCTGTCACCTCATCAGAACGTACCAGTTTCTGATGTAAAGAGCAAACTCAGGGCTACAAACTTGAACACAGAAGAGTACTTGACCCTCCTCTAAACCAAACCTCGTCTTGCGTAGGCAGGTTCAGTTTCATGACTAGTTCATGTTTCAGCTGAGCAGATGTTATTGGTTGCAAGTACCAGTAAATGAAAATGCTTCCCACATCTTGAACTTACCAACTGCTTGAAAGGCCTGCAGACATTATTCACAAAGGCATTTCTGATTAGCCAGCTCAAGGCAAACCTTACATCTTTCAGAAAGGACCCATTTAAAAATGTTCCAACTTGTTCACCCACCCCTACACTAGAATTAATCCAGAGATGAAGGTATAGCTGCCAAGCAGGAAGTTTCTGCTCTGGTCTTTGGAGAAGACCTCAACTTTGGTTTATTGCTGATGGGGACAAATCAAATGAGTTGTCAGTCAACCTTCACCCCCCAGTTACAAATACACTTTTCTTTGCAGCCCAATTTACACCAGGGATGACTACATAGGATAACAGTACTTAAAAACTAAACAAAGGGAGGTGGTCTATACGCAGTTATCAAAGGACTGATCCATCAGTAAGAGGATGGCCACAGGAGCAAGAACAGCATTCAGATGCTCAGAAAACATCCTATTCTCCTCTAAGTCACTTGCTCTTTTTTTCAGCACAGAGGGAAAACAACCAACACAAAGAGCAACAGTGAAGTATTATTCTGCTGCATTTTACTGATGCCTCACATTTAAACAAGTGACTTTCAATGATCAAGTTTGAGGCAGTGCATGAGCCAGTTCACACTGGTGGTACATTCTCATTACTTAGCATTTCAGGCAGATACCAATCTTAGTTTGTATGACAGCTCAGATGCTGGCTTTACCTTTCAGTTGGGATGATCTGGTTCAGCCTGAACAGCAGTAACCCTGGAAGCTACTGCTGAAAAAGCAGTTTCTTAGTATCCCAGCACATTATTCTTTCCTGCAGCAAATACACTCTCCAAGACCACTTTGTAGCCCTACACCTCCATCGGTATGTAACACCAGTCATATTTTCCACCATGCAAATGGCACTGAGTAATGGCTATTTTCTTTCAAATTAAAAGAAGGAAACCCCCGTTTCCCCCCCAGACAAAACCAAACCCACAGTTTCTTTAACAGTACCTTTATTAGTCCTGGGAAATACTGCAATTCTACCCATCTGCTACATACACATACACTTACTCCTACAATCTGCAGTCCACAACTGATGGTTGAAGTGATACTCCAATACCCACAGGCAGTTTTAAACCCCTTAAGATATGCATGCTTTAACTACTCATTATAAACTGAGTGTTAGTGGTTTAAATGAGATCAGTTTATGTCTCTCACAGTATAAATTTTATCAGCCATGACCGTTAAGTACTTCAATCAATGTCAAGTTAAGTTTTCTACATGGAATAGCAGTGCCTGAGGATTCCTCTCACATCCACTGGCACATGAACACGTATGTAAGATAAAAATGCATCAAAACCAAGGGCAACTTTTGAAGACAGCATCTTGTGAGAGATGCAGTGCTGTCTGGAGGGTTGCAAGAAGCCAGTACATGCAAGAACACACAATATTCTGGGGATTTATCACTAATATCATCTCAGTACATCAACACTTCTCTCATCGAGAAGGCCTGGAAAACTACATGTAACAATATAATAAAACTTCTTATGGTTTCTTGGTGAAGAATTTGTAACAACTTAGTCCTCTGCCTTTCAGAGGACTAAACCTCCCTTTTATGTAACTTGCTTTCTCCCCCCCCAGCATAAACAGGTATCACCCCACATAAAGGGCAACCTCAGAGCATTTTTCTGCTGCAGGATCTACTGAAGCACATCTACTGACTGCTGCTGGCAGGCAGCAAATGACCTCCACCTGATGTTTTTATATCCAAGAAATTAGTAGTGCTACTTTCAAAGGCAACTCTGAATGGCAACACAGCCCACTAAAACGAACAGTGGGGAACACCACACTCAAAAGCCAAACTTTCACAGTTGTGTTTTGTTATCCTTCCATTTTTCACTGCATACCCACTGCTGCACTGCCTTCTTCTGGTCACTGTAACTGAAAAAGGAAATGCAAGTTAGTACACTCTCAGAAACCAGGAGACAAAACAGTTAGATGATCTTCCTGATGATTGTTTTTATACACACAATGTGTGCATTTGGATGGTATTCAACCTGTGCCAAGAGTATGACGACGTATCAGTAGCTAACTACAACAATCAAATTGGTCTGAGCACTGCTTGTATTAATGCACACTTCTTGTACAGCATTGTCTCCAGAGCATGTACTAAGTAAAGCCCCTGTAATATCTGTGTGTATTTCCCCTCCAAACTCTGCCTACCACAAAATCCCACTAGCTCTTGACCATCTCAGCGTGCTACTCAGGAGTCCTGTAATGAACTGACATGCACACTGGTATCAACCTGTAAGTACTCACATGCTATAAACCTGTAATCAAGAGAAGCTGAACAGCTTGCTGAATCTGTAGAATTACATGCTTACATTTTACAAAGTCAGTATTACCTTCCTGCCATGAGTTAAGCTCTATTTACTGCCCCCTAAACTAACTCTGGCACCATGCCTGTTATAAATTTGGAACTGTTTCTAAGGTGCAGAGTAGGCTGGAAAAGTGTGCTTTGGTGTTCATTTCTTTATTAATTACAACATGGCCACTACCACCAGGAACTGAGAAAACGGATCCAGTGGACTGAGAAAAAAAGGCTCCCTTTTCCAAAAGAGAGCAGCTTTCTCACTTGCCAACAGTAACCGACTTTAACCCACACGGATAATACAGAGAACTGAAGCGCACACATACAAATAAAAGCTGACAACCTTCTAACACAACCTAGATGATGATTTGGCACACACTTTGAAAGTCACCTGGGATATATTCCATCCCTTCCTTAAAGGATTCCTGATTTGGATCAGCCTCAAACCATACATTTAATAATTGACTCCTGCTATTTTTTTTTGCAGGCTGGTGTGGGAGCAGAGGAGAAGAGCTTCCTATAACAGAAGTACTCCTGACGCTTCTGTATTTGATCTGAAATACAATCTAGCATGCTGAAGTAAAGCATCTCTTTCTTCTTTATCAAGGTAACAGCAGCAATTTATCAGGAGTATGTCAGAATAGACCATTAATGAAGGCACTGCACAGCAACTTAGTTGCTGAGACTCTAAAAACAATAAGGTGTAAGCCAACTGAGGCTGCAGACATTGCACTGTCTGCACCAGAAGCATCCTTCATACAAGATGGCAATACCCTGCAAACAGTGACCATGTGTCAGATGCAGAACAGTCTCAACTACAGCTTTTTTTCACCACTTCTAAGTTGGTTCTCAAAAGCAGTATTTGAAACCAACAGAAAGTACATTCCTCCACTTACAGAGTACTTTGAAAACTTGATTATAAATGACATTAAAAGTGCAAGTTTCCTCTAGGAAAGGGATTTGTCCTTATGCATCACTTTATACTAAATTTTAACAGATTCGTCCCACATTTAAAGTTATTTCCTTTTTTAATAACATTTAGTAGAAAAGCTGTACAAAAAGCTGTATTAGCGTTATAGACACTACCACTTGCATTTTTTCCTGGTGAGTTATCAAAGAGTAATCCTTCCACATTAACCTGAAGATAGTGGCACCTACACCTGCTTGCAAAGTAGTTTTAATAGGGTAGGCTTCAGAGGCATGAAACACAGCTGAACTGCAAAGCTTTAAACCATTCTGGAGATGGCTGGAGCTCTGCAATTTAATCCTAGGAGCTCTGCAGAGATTAATTCCTAATCAAAGATTATGCTCAGTATAATCATTAAATCGCATGTTTTACAAGACTGATTAAATGCCAGTACTCACATTTATTACACCAATTTGTATTTTTATGGTCTGGTCTTACAAAGATCCCTAGGACTTAACTACTCTCTGCAGAATGACTGAAAGTGTTACAATTTGTAATCTTAATTTATGTTCAACTGCACCCAAATGGGGATGAGTTTCTGCAGAGAGGAAGCCTCTGTCAGTCCTAACTTGGCTTAAAAAGCCTAATTAAACCTCCTCCTCCAAAATTCAAACAGGAAATGGAAATTATTACTAGTCCATGTAGGATCATGGAATGGCTTGGGTTGAAAACGACCTTAAGATCATCCAGTTCCAACCACCCTGCCATGGGCAGGGACACCTCACACTAAACCATGGCCGTCCAATCCAGCCTTGAACATTACCAAGGATTGAGAATTTACCGCTTCTCTGGGCACCCTGTGCCAGCACCTCAGCAGCCTCACAGTAAAGAACTTCCTTTTATCTAACCTGAACTTCCCCTGTTTCAGTTTGAACCCATCAACCCTTGTCCTATCACTACAGCCCCTGATGAAGAGTCCCTCTCCAGCATCCTTGCAGCCCCCTTCAGATACTGGAAGCTGCTCTGAGGTCTCCATGCAGCTTCTCTTCCCCAGGCCTTCTCAGCCTGACCATTTCTAAGCACAGAGCCACAAGAAATCCCCCTTCCAGCTACTACCCCAGAGTAATCTTTACCTTATGTTTTGGTACAGGCACCATCATCTCTGCCATCAGCACAGATGAACCAGCGTTACCTCAGTGGTTATCTTCTAGAAGTTATCACCCTGCAATCAAGAGAGGATACAACAAACTAAGAGAAGTACATTTTACAGCATGAGCCAACATACAGTGCTCCCCCCCACCACCATTTCAAAACAGTCACAAGCTTGGGTTTGCACATTATTCTGTTGCAAGTTTTACTACTTCTCTTCTAAGTGGTGGAGGATTCACTGGCTTGGAATGGACTGGAATGGCATAGTGACAGGTTGCATGGCTTATGGATTCTCATTCCTTGTCAATGGTGCACTGCCATGTTAAATCCATAAGTTGAACGACAAAAATTTACTGAGGTCTAAACAGTAGTACAAAGCTTTTGGGTGTGTGGTTTTAGTTGGAGGTCTTCATGTCTACTATATTCAAGAGCATCTTTTGAACTTCATGGCTTTACCTGAGTCAGAGCAACTTGCCACAGGTTCTGCCACATGTACTAGTTATCCCTAAAACGCAGTGTCAAAGTACAGAGATTCAGGCATCCAACTAAAGTTTGCAATGGCTCACTTCAAACTCTGCTATTTGGCAAGCTAAACAAATTCCTGATTTCACAAAGCTTTAATTTTGTTATAATACAGTATATGCAGCCTCTTTAAGCATCTTCACTGTAAGATACTGGGCACAAAATACCCCCTCCCAACCCTACCTGACAATATTCTGTCTACAATGAGCTGCATTACAGCTTTAGTTTCAAAACTGGTGCCATTAAATGCTTTTATCCAAGAAGAAATGTTGAATTTGGAGAACTCTTAATATATTGAAGTATTTCTTTTCCTTTTTTTTTTTTTTTTAAATCTAGACAGCATTTCCATTGCCATGACGTGCAGCTTGGCTTTACTGTACTAGAGGAAGATAACTTGGTTCAATTTTGACTTAGACTGGAAAAACTAGTTTGCTTTGCTTACCATCTTTGCTGTTTCACAGGCATTTGATGCTTTAAATCAGCTGTGGAATGCTGAAAGATTCACTTGTTTTTAGGAAGCCATAAGCCTTTGAGAAGTTGGAGAGAAAGACTTCTGTGCTTATCTTATTTTCTCCTTTGGAATCAAAGATGTTCCTTTAAAAGTGAAACACTACAGAGTTGCAAAAATTGGAAACAGTATGAGCAAGCATCGTTTTGTAGCTTCTTTGATGGAACTGGTCAAGGGGTTTTATTGTTACAGTATTCTGGAGCTGACTTACATGTACATGAGATTCATTTGGAAGGGAGATCCTTTCAAACTCCCCATGAAACAGTAGGAAGGCAGAAAATAGCATTATCCACTTGCTTTTTCGGGTTAAGTGAATGATATCCTCTATTTTTCTCTTTACACAAGGATCTGAAGGTATTTTGTACTGAGAACACTGTGACTTCAAATTCTAGGCACAACTGAACTCTGTGTGGAACAGCCCCACCACCCTCCAACACAAGCAATACTTTGTTTAAGAATGAGATGCTGAACATGTAGAACAATCCATCTCCATGTTAGATGGCTGGATGTTGTGTGGAAGCTCTTATGAACTGCTTGTTCCATTCATGAGGAAAATCAGATGGGAAGTGTGGCATTTCAGGGAAACTTTACTTGGAAAATTACAACACTAGTACACAGCTCAAGTTTTATACATTTAACATCTGCTTTTTGAAAGAAATGTTAACAATTTTGAAATGAAATTAAACACGGGTTTAACTTTTCCTCACAAAAGCATAAGTCATGGAGGGGAAAACTTAACAGGCAACAATAAAAAAAGGTAAAAACAACTTTTCCTTTTAGTAGTCCTCTGGTAGTAAAGATAGAACAACTTCCACTTTGCTGTTTTTGTTTGCGAAGTAATTTGTCTTGGTCCAAAAGTTTAAAGAGTATTTTTAGTATCTGCTCCTGCCTCCACCTCTATCGGATCTGCTTCCACCACGGCCACCACCTCTGGGTGCTCCGCGGCTTGAACTACTGTAAGAATCACGAGGAGGTGGATAGCCCCTTTCCATGGATGGGGGAAGACCCCTGTCTTGTCTTCCAACACGATCACGGCCACTTGAGTAGACATCACTTCTGCTGCTTGAGTAACTTTCTCGGCTTCCATATCCATCTCGTGTGCTGCCGTAATCGTCATAGCGACTGCTTCCACCATAAGATGGCGGGGGCCCTCGTGCAGGTGGAGCACTACGTGAGTTACCTGCAGGGTCAATGGTCAGGTAATATGGCAACACCATAAGTTATATAGAACAATTTCAATCTGAATTTACAGAATTGCTGTATTTAAATGGTTACTGCTACTCTTTTGTATGTATTGAGATGTTCTTAATATTATCTGCCACATTAATGGTATTTAAAGTGGGGATTGCATAGCAGGCAGTGAGTGGATTTGAAGACGGTGTTTATTCAGGCAGGCTCTTTACTGGGTATTCCAGAACAGCTTGTTATTTTAGAGAAGAAACTCAGCCATACTTTCCAGAGATAGTTGCAATTCTGAACTGTAGCTTTTGCTTCTTTAGTTTATAGCTTATTTAATATGATGGTAACCAACAACTGCACTTTCACTGTAGGGGGGAAAAAAAGCGTGCCACTTCCCCGTAAAACACAAGCAACCTAGTAAAAATCAAGTTTTATGACACCTGTACAGCTTAATACATGATCCTCAAAATGGATTCTTACCATAACTATCATATGAATCTCTGTAGGAGCCTCCACTTGGATGATCCGAGTAGTCTCTGTCACGCCCACCACCGTATCCATCACGATCACTATAGGAGGAAAGACTACTAAGACTTAGTATAAATCAGCGAGATCATGGCAAGAATAAAATGACAAGGAGAAAAATCCAACAGTAGGTACCTATAACCCCTAGAGGGGTATTCATCTCGTGAACTGGAGTGACCGTAATCACGGTACGCGTAGTCCCGAGGAGGTGGCGCATAGTCCCGCGTATCCCTGGAGCTGGGATAATCTCTGCTTGAGTAACTACAAAGAACAAGAAGTGAGATGTCAGTCAGATGTCACACCTTAAAAGATCAAAATCCTTCTCTGAATAAAAAAAGCTAAACTATAAATTAGTAAAGGGAATTTACCCATCTTTAGTGCTGTAGCCGTCATCTCTTGGAGACATGTAGACATCCCTTCGTGATGGCATCGGTTCTCTGCGTGGAGGACCACCGTAACTGTCTCTTCCGCGTGACACAGGAGCTTAAGAGGAAGAGTCCAAGTTCTTAATTATCATTTAGCCACACGAAAGACTCCTCAAGGCAAGCATTAGCAGATAATATCCTTGTTTATAGGGATTTAAAAGTATCTCTGTAGCCTACATTTATAATGCTTTAGACTGCTGCTCGTACAGTTTTAAAGCAGCACTAGAAGGAATATATCATATCACACCAAATTATCCCAACCAGCTACAAAACGATAATGGTATGAAGAGAACTGGTAGATTAGGAAAACAATACATTATCCCACAACACATTTAAGTTACAACTGATGATTCGCATCAGTTCCTGAACTAAAACTAAGCTGCTACAGCTGATTAGGTAAACAAAAGTAATTCAGGAGATTCTTACCTCTTCCTCCCATACTACTGCTACGCACTGGTCCTGAAGGTGCAGATCTTTTAGGTGGAGGGCCTCCACTTCGTGGAGGTGGACCTCTCTTCATGGGAAGTGGCCCTCGAGAAGATCCTAGAAGCCATGAACCAACTTGTTATTTCTGTGATACCCACCCATATGCCCTAAAGCCTGAACTACAATAACCTAGGCGCTATTATTACCACTATGTGATCAACAGTAAACCTGTAAAACTAGACTTCAAAGCCTTCTCTTGTATGTTGGCCACTACTCGATGCTACTGGCAGAAATGAGAGCCCATCAAGCTAACTGTCCAAAGCCTAAACTGCTCTCAAGAACTGTCTTTTAGAACTTATGCAAAAGCCACAGGGTATGACCCAAGTGAGAAAGACAAGCTGTTGACTGATTACAGGTATCAGCTAAGTACTCAACAAGCTACTATTCTCAGAAGACAAGAGCCACCTGGGAAGATGTACTAGAGAAGATCCTACAGAGAGGAAACAGAGACACTACAGAGTCTGCAGAACCTACTACAGACTCTCCAAGACAGGAGGTTTTCACTATTTCCAGGGTTTTTTTTCTGCATTACAGCTTTTACTGTTATACCTCAGGTGCTGCTTGCTTTTAAGTGACAGTTCTGTTTTGATACTGAAAGTCTCTCCATCAATTGCTGTATTTTTGATACTGAAAAGTCTCCGAATAAATAGTTGTATCTTAAGTTACAGGATATCCAGTATCAAGTAATACATTATCCTTTCACTTCAGAAAGCTTCAACTCAACACACTGTTTTATAACAAAGTAGCCTTAGCTTCCTTAGCTCCCACTATGACCTGGAAGGATCACTTCTAGAACTTGTTTAGACCTCTTGCTAGTAAGAACGAAAGGCAGTTCCCTTTCCCTGGTGGAAGAGAATCACTTTTTCAACTTGAATACCAGAAAGCTTCCTTTCTCACGTGCAGGGCAGGAGTTTTGCTTTTCTTTCATAGCCAAAAAGCCAAGTGGAGTGTTAGTTGTAGAAGGGAATCTTCAGATTTGAATGACTTTTCTTAAGGTGTACTTGCCTAATCAAAAACGTGACTAAACTGCTGAGATCACATTTCATCAGTTTATTAAAGAACAAGGAGTGCACTATTCGGCTGTTTGACTTTTTTTTTTCCAGTAGGATTACTGTCATCTTCCAATGGGATTGTCTTGTATGTTGTCCAAGTATATAATGAGAGAGGTCAATACATACCCAAGTGACTCCCTCTTGAAGGTGGTCCTCTCGCGCCACTGCCGCCTCTTCCACCTCTAAGGCCCCTGGGAGGACCTCTGCTTCGTGGAGGGGGGGGCGGCCCACGCCTCCCACCACTTTCAAAGGATGGCTTGGTTGCTTGTTCCACTTTAATTGCTTTCCCATCTAATGACTAAAGAAGAAGCTGCTTTACTCAGTGCTCAGTCACGTTTGTATGTTTTAAATTAAGCCCCTCTTGCTTCACTATTACAGGGCTTCCACTTTATAAAGTTAGAGCAACTCTAGAACTGATTTGAGTCGTCAGTATTAGTCGCCATGTACTCAGCAGCATGTTGGGCCTAATTTCTACAGTACTTCATTCTTGTGGTACTGATGGAAAAAAAACCCCTTATACAGAGCAGCATCAGAAAGGACTTTCAGTGAACACAAGTATCCAATGATTACGGCAGCCCCATGTCACTTATTCTGCAAATGAAACACCATTTATGATCTCCAATTTACTTTCAATTGCCATGGACTTTTGTACCAAACTAGGACTGCACCAGTAGTTACAGGATTAAGCTGAAGGTATCTTAGCTTCAGTTGGGGTTTCTGGCAATGGGGAGGCCGTTTAGTACATTGTCTTGATGTTCTGACAGAACGGTGATCATTGAAGTACTTAGAAGTAATTTCAGCATCTACAAAGCAGAGCAAGTATGAGAATTCACCCCACTTCCCTACTGTTTCAGGGCTGGGTTTTTAAAAGAGGTGACTGTTACATTTACTCTATTGCTTTTGCAGAGTGGAGACGCTTTGTGGTGGGTTTTTGGAGTTTGAAAGTGGAAGGTTTTTCTGGAATATAGACCTGCAGTAACAGGAACTTTGTAGCCAACTACTGTACCTCAAACATGGGCAGGTGCTAAAGACACAGTGAGTAACAGCTTCATTCATCAAATCTCTGTATAATCTTTGCACATCAAACACTTGATAATTACAGCAGAGCCGCTATCACAAGCTCTGCTGCAGTTCAGTTACTGCACACATTTATCCTGGCAAACACAGTTTGTCTTTTTTAGCAGTCAAATATTTATCTCTGCTGCGGCAACTAATGAATTAATACAGGCAGGAAGTGTTGCATATGGCACTTCTTAGCTGCAATAAATGAACAAGAATATGACTGCTAGTGATGCATTACTCTGAGCTGCTGACAGGATTTTATTGAGGTACTGAGTCTTTTTTGTTCTTCACTGAAATCTAGGCCTCTCTGAACTCATCCACTTCAGTAGCTCAGGTACTCCTCCACAATACGTAGTTGTAGCTACTGTTTGGAAAACCTGTGTGTATATTCACAGGTCCAATGTGAGGAAAAGAAATTGAACAATACTAGCAACACCAGATTTGGCTTGGCTTTGACTTCATAAATGTGTTTTACTTATGGAAGGCTCCTCCAAAAGCCTTCTGGCATGACAAGCTCACCCATTCCAGGAGCAAGCATTAGTACCTCTCATCACTGAACTCAGCAGTTTGCATCGTTATTTTGCCATCATCATTCATCTGTCTAGGTCATCCTTCTCAAAACAGGAACAGTGGGCTTGAAGCCTTAAGCTTTGCCATCATGGCCACTGCTATCCTGTTTCCTGATAGCTTCTTGCCAGCTTGTTTGAAGCTTGGAGACCAAACACCATCCCCTTCTGCTAACATGGGTTCTGAGAACCTGGATGCTCACTCCAAGTTCTTTAGTTTTTTTATGTAGGAGGTACTGTTTTCCTTTTTCCTCCTACTTCCTTCCGCCTTGCACTCATGCATCTTACCTAGGCAAGAGGGTTCTGTTTTGAAGCTGCTTCATGCAAGCAGTCTTAAAAGGTTATGCCTAAGGTCCAAAAAGACCTTGCATTAGGTCCAAGAGATTATTTTTCCTCTTTTGTTAACCAGAAGATATTAGTCAGTTTGTCCTGTTTTAAAGCAGAAGGGACAACTTCATTTTATAGGTTCTTAGATCAAAGAAGTAAGCTCTCATCCCACTGACAGGTACAACTGACACAAGCCATCTCAAAGAATTTTTCAATGAGCCCAAAGCACCAGTTTTCAACATGAACACTCATTAACTGGCATTTATAACCTTGAATCAGAGTGTTGCAGTACCATTTTTACTATGATATGGGCACCATAAAGTGGAGTCACCCTGGTGCTAAAAAGCAGCTCAGTAATTGACGATAAAGAGTCATTTAAGGATAATAATAGATTGGCAATCATAAAACCTCTATGTGGAATGAACAATCATCTATACGGCTTTGTAAGATGAGGCACGTAACCAAAACCAATTAGAGAACTGTCCTGCAAACTGTTCCATGTTCCAATGGGAAAGATGAATGAAATCTGGAAAGTTTCAGGAGTAGGTCAGAAATCAGGTATTCCAAAGAGACTGCTAGAGGAACTTGCATGAAACACAGGGGGCTCCTCTCAAATGGTTCATTGTACTGTTGATGCTGCAGTGACTCCACCATTGCTGCACATTCCTTGATGGCAGATCAAATGGGCTTCCTTACACCAAATATACTCAAGAACTGAAGATCATTTCTTATAAGGCTGAGCTTCTACGTATTTTATTGCTTTTTCACCAGAAGAACTGGAAGCATTTTCTTGTTGGTTAGAGGAAGACAACCTTCTGCACTGCTGAGTACAGTTTAGACAGCTGTTTGGATTGTAGGATTTGCTTCCAACCTCTTAACACAGTCCAGCTGGCTTGGCAGGTCTATGCTGGAATTGCATCTCTGGCTTGTCCTGGATGTTTCCTCTAAGGTCATATCCTCTCTTGCATTATTCATTTTGCCCTCAGGACTGAAAAAACAAAATGATCAGGAGAACAGGCTACTGCACTAATTGACCACTAGAGACTTGCAGCGTCCACACTTGTGTCCAGGTATGTATGTGCATTTCATGACATCAGGATGTTGGCTTGACTACAATGAAGTAAGGCAGTCCTTAAAAAAGGCTGGTAATTTGCTATGGTAAAGTACTCTTGGCATTTCATCTGTGCTGCTCAGACATGCTAACATTGATCCAATCCTGCACAGAAAGTAACTGAAGTGAGAAACCTCCACCCCCACTCCAAAATGGTTATGTCCTGACCTCTTTCTGCAGGACTGAAGTTAATCTTCAAGTAAGCTCAGACGAGTCTGTGCTTGTACCATTTTAGACTAAAACATTATTAATTCCCTTCCTTCCCCACCCCTACCCCAAAGGAGCAAAACACTGGATGTTTTGCATGAATACATGCAAAGAAAAAAAAAAAAATCTAAAGCAAATTCACTCCTGCAGAATCTAAGTCAACCTCTTCTACTAGCCTTCACTTGGAATTCCTTTGGAATGACAAAGTGGGTAACACAAGTGATGCAGAACAGGCCAACTATCTCTTTATAGACTGCTTGAGCTATTGCCAGCACAGTGCTGTTTGTCCTTCTTCTGCGTGAGCACTCCAATCCAGCATTTGGAAATGAACAGGGAAACTCCCAAGTTGTGATTTATTACAGTGCTGTCTTCCTACAGCATGCCTTAACCATCACTCCTCCTCACATCTAGGATGCAGTCTTCGTGAGGTACAAGCAGAATTTACAGTACAGAAGGCTTTCTGAAGATGAAGACGAAAGACTACTTCATGAACATCTTCCACACCCTTCATATGCAACCAAGCAAGGTATGTTAAAGACATCATTCTAGGCCAAATCCCAAGTGAAGATTCTTTTCATACACTATTTGCTGTTCAGATTCCAAAGCTGAGAAGGTACTTTTAGATTTGTAGTGTTGAAGGCAGAAACTATGAGAACAATGCTCCACAAGGCAGTACTCTTCCAGATTTCTTGACAATGATGCAGATGGGTGTATTCCAGACTATGGAGACATTACCTCAGCCACATTCAATTTGATTTAGCTATTTCACTAAGTATTACTTTCCTAAATGTTTCCAATGTGACCAAACACATGCCACAACGTTAAGATTTAGAAGAGTTGGTGATTACTTTCAGAGGGATTTTCATGCGAACTTTGCACTCCACAAACACTTCAGATTGGCAACTGAAGTCCTTTCAGTCTGACAACTGCTGGTGCTTGAAGTTCAGTGAGGAAATCTGTGTTTGAGAACCTGCAGTTAGGTCTTCAGAACTGTAGCAAACTACACAATGGAGATGTAAATTCAATAGAAGAAGCACCTTTAAGGATGTTTAGGCTGGTACAGAAAGGACATTACTAACTTGCCACTCTCTGCCTTGACAATGCAACTAATTTGTTTAAGAAAGAAGTAAGTCTCCAAAGGAAGTAACACTATTGTCCTGAGGTTGCCCTGAAGCACCCAGAAACTAAGCCTACAGAGCAGAAAGCTGCTGTAACACAAAACAAGGTAGATTTTACTATTTGTGTTCACTGTGAACACTACAGCAAGCTTGTTTACTTCCAAAGTACAAATTTTCACCATGCTTTACTTACTGACTGCAATGACTGACACTCTTCTTTCATTTCAATGTCTTATACCAAGACAAATAGCTATCAAAATTCCAAATGTTCATTAACCAGAACAAAGAGATTTCTTCATCTTACATAAATGGCATCTCAGAGACACTGCTTAAATACCAGTGTAGCATGACCTTAACACATCTGTCCAGATTATGCATGAAAGACCAGAGCCAGAAATTCAAGGTAACAAAGACAGCTTTCACTGTCTAGAGAGAGCACCTCTATGAAGATAAACAGCTGCTGACCAGTTGCAAACTTACATCTAGCTTCTCAAACACATCAGAACACACATAGGTAACAACAGCCTACAATCCTTTGACAAACTACCCATGTATCTATCAGATTTTTTTTTGCTCCAGATTTCTCTTTAAAGACATCACAGATGCATTATTTATTTGCTTTTAAAGTCACACCATTGCACTGCAGGATGTAAACAAGCAAATGCAACTGCTAGTTCACTGCAAAGATATTTTACATTAACTGGCAAGATGTTCCTCAAACACCCTAAGTAAATTTAGGATGCAACTCACAAATGTAGGAGTCACCTACACATTACCAGATAGCACATAAAGCAAGCGCAGCAGGGAAGTCATGTTAAACCCACGTTAAGGGAACCATTAATGCTTTTCAAGTCAGTCACTTCCCTACAGTGTAATTTATACAATCCTGCATTCAAATATGATAAAAGCATTGTAAGAAGCACGCAAGAATGAAGAGCTGACTACTAAAAAGCCCTCCAAATAAACAAAAAAAAGGGAGTAGTATTGACAGCCAGACTTCACTTTCTAGTTTTTAAGTCTATAATTGGGAGAAAGTGATTCCGGCTTCATGGAGACAGAAGCATTTGACCAAGTTATGATTTGCCTCCAGAATCTCCTAACCCATTGTCTTTCCAACTTTTACTACTAGCTAATTTACCCCACAGATCAATACTGCTGGTCAGTAGCAACAGCAACATGTAACTGGTCTCAATTCCTACCTTCCCATTCATGTCTCTGGCAGCATCTTTTGCATCTGCTGGACTCTCAAATGTGACAAAGGCGAATCCTCTGGACTTGTTGGTTTCACGATCTTTCATCAAAAGGACTGCAAAAAGAAAGCCAGGTTACCCTTCCCTGTAATCAGGCAGCAATATCTAACCTTTATTTAACCTTTTAAGCTCAGAACTTCTTAGAGGACATAAAAGCGCTATCACTTCCAGATGATCAACGCCAGAAGAGTCATCACAGCTATTTTGTTGCTTTTTATTATTTAGTATCTTAAAACAGAAAGGGTTTTCCTTGTACCTTCCACGATGCGTCCATATTTGCAGAATACAGCCTCAAGGGCTTTTTCATTTGTCTCTGTGTTCAGGCCCCCAATGAAAAGCTTCCCAGGACGGTCTGCTTCAACCATTTTGATTCTGAAAGTGACCTATTAAGAGCATAAGGTCGTCATTAACAAAACATTAGACTGCAAGAGAAACTTCCAATACCACCCATACAATATCAATGACTCCTCAAAAATAACAAGCGCATTTTCTTGAGCAAGATGTCAGGAGTGATAAAGAACAGAAAAAATGTATAGTTTTAAGACTGAAGCAACAAAGGGCAGTATTAACTTATTTTGTCACATATCGTCTACTTCAAACAGTAAAAATAGTTTAAAAAGTGGGACAAGGCACTGATGAGAACTCTTCAGATCAAGCAGCATCAGTGAATATGGTAAGTTTTCAGGGTTACTGCCTTGTTACCCTCAACCCAAGCACTCCCTCTAAATCCTGTCACAGATGTTTAAATACATGTACTTAATACGTCAAAGCAATACCAAAATGTTAGCTTTCAAGTCAGTTTCCGCCAACAGTCCAAATTTAAATTGATTCTTTAAGCCATTTCAAGCACATCGAGACAATGCCGAAGTCCTGGCCTACACAACGTGTCAGCCTGAACGAATACCAGACCATCAGTGCAGCTGTACACAGTAAGGCCACCACTAAGACAAGGCGAGGAAGGCAAAACCACAAAGAGTAGCCCGACAAAGGAGAAGCGCGGAGTGCCTGGCAAAGCGCCTGCGTTCAAACGTTACCCGCACCCCTCCGGCCCCGTGGCGGGAGGCCCGCAGCAGGGTTCAAAGAGGGCCGGCGCCGCTCCCCCCGACGAGCAGCGGGGACAAAGCAGCCCCCCGGGAAGCACGAGGCCGGCGGGGCCGCCCAGGCCATGAGGCCGCGGTGTGCGCGGCGGCCCCTCTCCGTGTCCCCGGGCAGACGCGCGGCGGGCCGGGAAGCGGGTGGGGGGAAGAGGGGGGCAGCAGACCCTCCGCGGGCTCCAGGCACTGACACAAAATGGCGGCCACCTTTGGCAAGGACTCTTCTCCCTCCCGGCGCCCGGAGACCGCCGCGGCACTAACGCGACCGCGCAGCTCAGCCCCGTTTGGAGCTATTGGGCCGGCCTCCCTCCGTCCTCCTCTGGAACGTGGCGGACCACGCGGCGGGACCTCGGGCATATCCCCCCGCACCTAAAATGGCGGCCACTGCGCCTCACGCGGTTAGGACCCCCCTTCTCCCCACCACACTCACCATGCTCCCCCCACCCTCCCCAGGCCCGGGCGGGCATGGAGGCCCGCCTGGCCCCGCCGCGCCTCACCCCGCGCCCGCAGCGGCGGAACACAGCTCCCTCACCCACAGGCCGCGCCTTTCCCCTCGCCACCGCCTTCCCGAGGGGCAGGGCCCCTTGTACCCCTCCGCGAGCCGCGGGGCCCGCTCCGCTCGGCTGGCAGCACTCACCTCCGCTCGCACCGAGCCGCAACTGCGCAATGAGGGCGAACAAAGGCGCTGCAGGCCTTTATACTGCTGACGTCAGAGGCCGGCCGGGGACCCGGATGCATGCGGCGGGGCGGGGAGCTCCGGCGGGGGGAGGCCGCGGCCCGCCGCGGGCACCGGGGGCTGGCCCGGGAGGGGGGCTCGGTCCTCCCGCAGCTATGGGCAGCGGCCCGCCGGAGGGCTCCGAGGCTCCGGCCCTGCAGGGAGATGGGGCGGGGGGTGCCCTGCTGCGGAGCTCCGCGACCCGCTTGAGCGGGAGAGCTCCCTCAGAAAGGGGCAGCTTAGCTTTGGAGAAGTTTAATTAGTTAAATTACCGTGTATGTCAGTGCCCCTTCCTTGGAGACTGACAGTGAAGTGAAACAAGAGGTTGAAAATGAAACATGCTGTTAACGTTTTCCATTGCTTCAACTTGACTCCCATTTTCTAATTACACCTGAAGGTTAATTGTGGCTGTTTTCTTTTGCTGGCTGAACCTGGTAGCTGAGAAGTGAGGAGGAAGCCTGTGCATCCAAAATCTGGCTGTTTTCACTGTTTGAATGTGTAGATTATCTAAACTGGTGTTACTTGTGAAAGCACCCAGTCTAATCCCCACTCAGTCTTCTAATGTCAAACCAAGAATAGGGTTTTCTGTAACGTTGGTAGAAACCTAAAAGGAGGATGCCTGGTCATGGATTTGGAGTGGTTTTTAGGACAGCTATTTTGCAGGTCTCCATTCATTATAAATATTCCCCAAGCACGGTGAACTTGGTCAGGATCTGCACATACCGCCCACTCCTACTCCTTGAAGAAGGGCTCTTACAGTCCCACAAGATGCAAAAACTGACGGAATTGCTGGTTCTTTGAATGTTTATCATATCCCTCCTGCCTCGTCCTTGTGCAGTGAGGGAACAGTGCCAAGATGTATCAAAGGCAAATAAATTATTAAATATACCTGCTGAAATCCCACTGGGATTAACCAGAGGACTTAAAAAAGAAAACTCAAGTGCATCACCTGATGCCAGGTTTGAATAACAGGATACGAGCAGCCAGTCCCTGTGGATCTGAGGTGCTGAGGGATGCCAGTCAGCTCTGAGGAGTTAGTCTCCAGAGTCTATAGATGCTACTGGTACTGCTCAGTTCCCTCAAGAGTTGCAGAGCTGAATAATGGTTGCATCCTGATAAGAAAACATCAGACTCTCCAGTTTTTCAGTCGCCTCTGTTCAGACGCTGATATTCAGCTGCTCTTTGTGTTACAGAAAGCAGAAGGCAACATTGCTTCAGACTGCCTCATAGATCTGTTGAGAATACAAAAGGAGGTGGCTCTCAAACACTTCTCTAGACCGTGCTTAAAGATGATCACTTTTCCAGCGTGGATGCTAAGAGTTACTGGATGCTGTTACTGTGCATGGGAAAAGGGAAGGATAAGCTTGGGTAATGAAGTGGGAGGGCAGTGCAGGTGATAACAATGCACTTGGGGAAGAATGGCATAGCTTGCCCAATTATCATATGAAAAAAGGTTCAAATTCGAGTTTCAATGCAGAAGAATTTCAATCTCCGAGCCTCCCTGGAATGGATAGTGAAAACTAAGGCAAATTCTTAGCCCTGCAAGAACCAGGCTAAAAATAGTCTCCCTGTGTGATGTCTCTGTGTGCTTCCGTGACCTGCAGCGGTGTATTTGCTGACCACCTCCAAAGAATTGGAAAGATAAGCAAATGCAAACTACAGTCTCTTCTCCCTCCTCTGATTAAGAGTAAAAGACTTCATTGGTAGCTCCAGGCTTCATTTTGTTGACACATACAGTACATGTGGCTAAATGGGATTAGCATGAACATAACTGGGGCCAAATTCTTCTGTCCTTTGTCCTACAAGGCATCTTCATTGGGACTCTTAACAAAACCTTAGTTCCAAGCTGGAGGAGTATTTGACTGCATTCCACTACATCGGTTAGGTACAGTCTTGCTTCAAGTGCAGAGAAAGAAGTCTTTTTCCTGGAGGATATGTAATTCTGATTCTTACCCTCCTCCTGGGGGATGAGGAGTAATGAATAATCTGATCACATAAGTCCCATTCGGGATGAATAAAGAAGGGAATGTCATTCCCTCTGGAGACATAGTTCAAAAACTAATAACTGGAACGATCAGTTTAATACTTTCCTGACAAAGAGCAATTTTCTTGGCAGCTGTCAGTTAATAGGTATTTATAGAAATGCCACATTTTTCCTCTATAAAACTCAGCTTGGAGTGGATTGACAGCAGCACAAAATAATTGTTTCTGGCACTTTGTCAACCATTTCTAAACTGGAACTCCCCAGTGTCCTTCTCCCAAATCACCTCTTTGGCATCTAATTGTGGCCCCTTTCAGTTTATCAATACAAGGTGGATCACAGGGCTCCAGGACATAGCTGAAGCAGCCTGTAATGACAACTCAAACTAATTATTATACACCCTTTAGTCTTACTCCTTTTGCCTGGTTCTGTCCTATGGTAAGGGTAGCTCACTACTAATTGGTGAGTTGGGTAAAATTGTTGGACATGGAGGTTTTGGAGGGGTAATGCAAATACAGTGCCACAGGCTGTAAACTAGGGTGGCAACAGGGAAATCAATGGGGAATACAGATAGGAAGATGGAGATGTTGTCTACCTGCTAAAGACAGTGATGCCTTCAGTGCAGAGGGAATAGTATCTGTCAGGCCTTACGGAGCTCAGCTTCCAGCCATCACTTGTACTCACCCTGCTTCTCAGCCAGGCTTTGCAGCCATCCCAGAGCACTGCTCCTGCCATTGCCACATGAACCATTGAGGCTGGAGCTTGGCGTCACAGCTGGGGCACCCCTGTGGCTGTGTTAAAGGAAGGAGCTGCAGGACACCATGAGCTGGTGTGCCTCCACTGTTGTCAACTGCAGACATCACAACCTGCATCAAAACCTCATCAAATGTAATTCTTAAAGGTTGCAGGGTTAGAGAAAAGGTTACAATACAAAATCTTGCGTTTCCACCCCTGATTTCTGAGCTGCTAAAATCCAGTTTAGGTCTTTCTCTGCTTTGGTGGGGGGCTAAAACCTGAAAAGAGGCTCTGGTACGAGTCAATACTGAAGAGAAGGCTCCTTAAAGGGAGACCTTAGAGCAGTGCCAGTGCATGGCTGCAGGAACAGTTGTGTCAGCTGCAGGTTCTGAAGTCCATGAAGCCTGACCTTAGAGCAGCTCCAGTGCCTAAAGGGGCTGCAGGAAACCTGGAGAGGGGCTTGGGACAAGGCCCTGTAGGGACAGGCCAAGGGGAATGGCTTTAACCTGCCAGAGGGGAGACTGAGATGAGCTCTTAGGCAGAAGCTCTTCCCTGTGAGGGTGCTGAGGCGCTGGCACAGGGTGCCCAGAGAAGCTGTGGCTGCCCCATCCCTGGCAGTGTTCAAGGGCAGGTTGGCCACAGGGGCTTGGAGCAAGCTGCTCTAGTGGAAGGGGTCCCTGCCCGTGGCAGGGGCTGGAGCTGGAGGAGCTTTGAGGTCGTCTTTAAGGTGCAGAGGAGAAGCCGAGCAGCCAGGCTGCTCCTGCGCTCCCCTGCCTTGCAGAGCAGCACGGGCAGAGCCTCTGACATTGAACTGGGACCTTCGGCTTTTGTGGCTGGAGCCAAACCCTTCATGTCTCTGAAGGCAACCCCCGGCCCGGGTGTGGAGACAGCAACTGTGAGGCTGCAGAGACAGCACACGGCAGCTTTTATTGACGAGAAATGATGCCATTTAGATCAGAAATGTTTATTCAGAACAGCTTCCAGTGTGTGAAGGGGCCTCCGAGGGTGCCAGAGAGGGATCCTTCATCAGGGACTGCAGCGATAGGACAAGGAGTGATGGGTTTGCACTGGAGCACGAGAAGTTCAGTTGAGGAATGAGGCAGATTCCCCCCGTGGCAGGGGTTGGAGCTGGAGGAGCTTTGACGCCACTTCCAACACAAATCAGGCTGGGATTCTATGAGTAAAGTGTGGATAACGAGAACCAACCTCTCCACCGAGAGGAACAGGACAACACCCCCCAAGCTCCCTGAGCCAAGGGCTGCCCTATCTTGAACAGCGCCCTCGCCTCAGGGCGCCCTGCCTCAAGATGGCGCCCAGCGCCTCAGCTCCGCACCGCGCATGCGCCGCGGCCCCAACGCCGTCGTGACGCCGCCGCCCCAACGCCGTCGTGACGCCGCCGCCGCCGCGACTCGCGGCCTCCGGCTCGGCTGAGGCCGGCTCTGCAAGGCGCTGCCCGGGCGGTCGGGGCCGCAGCCTCGGCTCATGGTGCTTTCGCCCGTTGAGGCTGGAAGATGAGGCTGCTGGCGGCCGGCCTCTTGCTGGTGGCACCTCTGTGCGCCGCTTTCTATCTGCCCGGCTTGGCGCCCGTCAGCTTCTGCGAGGAGGGCGAGGAGAGCGAGGGCTGCAAGGTGAGAGCCAGCACGGGAGGGCCCGGCATGGGCAGTCCCTCTCTTCGCTGTGGAAGTCCCATAGAGGGGGAAGCGGGGCTTCAGCGGGCGAGGGGGGCACCGCCGGGTACCCCTCGTCCCACTGCAGACCCACGGCGTTCTCCTTTAGGTGCTCTGGGAAGCCAGGCACCCCCAGTTCCTCTTCCCTCGGGGCACCGGCTGCTTTTTTTAGGGTGAAAACCACCCCTTTTCGAGCTGAAGTTAACGGTTAGCTCCGGGAGAGCCTTTCACCGGTGCTTCGATCCTTGTTTCGCCGAGGGAGGGCGGCTCTCGCGGGGCCCGGCGGTAGCGGCCTGTCAGCAGCCTGCGGTAACTCCGCTATGGGATAGTGAGCGCTGAAGCTTATCACAGCTCTTGCTAGCTTTAGTGTCTTACCCACATTTGTCATTGCAAGCCTGTATTTTCATACTCTTTCTCCTCCTGCCCTTCCCTGTTTCAGTCGCTGATTGAGCTCTTTGTGAACAGACTGGACTCGGTTGAATCGGTTCTGCCCTACGAGTATGATGCGTAAGTACATTGCAAGAGGCTTCCAGGAGCGTTTGCAAAGCCTGGTTTCTGTTCTTGGTGCGGTGATGCAACTCCTGGTACAGTAAACATGTTTCTTGTAAGCAGTGTTTTGGATGGAGGGATGGAAGAGTAAACCCATTGGCAGGAATGAAATACAAGAGGGTGGGAAGGATGAAGCCACACCTGTACCTCCTGACTATCCGCTGCTGTTGTTAAAGGCTGCTGGGTTTCTGAAGGGTGCCTTGTTTTGAGCTGACTTCCAGAGTTAGTGTGTTGGCTGTTTGAGACGTTTGAACGTTCTTCCTGGTAGCCAAGTGTGGGAAGACAGGAGCTTTGTGTTCCTTGTTTCTGGCAGTTGAAAGAAATTGGAAGTAAAGTTGTTGTTGTTTTGGCTTTTTCCACCAAAGTTCTCTATCTGATTCTTGGACGGTTTTGATTCTTGTCTGTCCAAACTAGGACATGCTTTTGCAGGTGTTTATAGGCCTACAAAGCAATGACACACAGTATGATTGTGGGGTACAGGAAGAAGAAACTTGCAAGTGGTGTAGGTCTGATGCTGTGCAGTGCGACAGTAGCAGCAAGACTAGCTCAAAAAGCCCACAGTGTCTCTGTTTGCATTAGATGTTAGGGAAGCCAATGGATTTAGGATGAAAAAGTACTTTTTTCATCAAAAAGTAGTGATTTTCTCCCCCGACCTCCAGCATAACCTGCTGCCTGTGTTTAAATAATGAAGATCCCAAATAGTTTCATTCTCTCTCCCGTATTCAGTTGGTTCAGACTGTATGTAGTTGAAAAGAACTGGTGTGTGGCAGTGTGGCACATTAATATTAAAAACATCATTCTTTCTTTGAACCATGTTTCATGTTAAATGCTACTTGTAAATACTCCTTGAAGAAAGAGGTGTAGTAGTTTTTTCAGAACCTTTTTGCAAGAGAAATGAACAGTCTGTAGCATAGTCTCTTTTTTCCTAATATGAAACATTCTCTTGTTATTTAATGCCATTTGAAAAAGGTGGCTTGGACTAAGCATCATGCATTTTCTTAAAGATACTTCAGCTGTGATATATTTTGGTTAAAACTGATGTATTGCATAGAAATTTTTCTGTGTAATATACGCCAAATTTCTGTGCAAAGGCACTCAGTTTTCTTAGCTACCCCTCCAAAAGAAGCATGAAAAATGCTGTGTTAAAGACGTAACTTAATAAATTTTTTTTTACTGATATATACAGTTATGTATCAGTTAAAAATTAAAGGTAACCTTTTCCAATTTTTTTCCAGTTTTGACTTCTGTCAAGATACAGAAGAGAAAAGACCATCGGAAAATCTTGGACAAGTGCTTTTTGGGGAAAGAATAGCATCGTCTCCGTATAAGGTTATTTTATCCCTTGAAGTTGATCCTGTTTCGGTTTGATCGCTGTCACTCTGATGGCTGTAATCCATAGACATAGCTGGAGATTTGATGATTGCGTGATGATTTATTTAAGCATCAGCTTTATAGTGTTTATGTAATCAAAACCTCTCCCACTTTCCACCCCGAAGGCATCTTCGGGTGGCTAATGAAAGTTAGGAAGCTGAGCCAGTAATCGCTTTTCTTCCCTGTTGCTCTGTGGAAGAGAAGTTCAGAAACTATAACTTAAGCAGTTCTTTGGCAGCTGCATGTATGGTGTGTTAGGTGATCTGAAATCAGGAGGTTTTTAGATCTAATATCGGAGGCTGTAAGCTGGTGTTTTGGGAATGCTTTCATATATTCGATTGTATTATTGGGCAACATACAGAGTGGGATGGAGAAGTCAAGTTAGAGCTTGTTTCCAGCTTTTCCCTGCTCTACACACTCAAAAACTGTTGTCTAAACCCAAATTTATTATTGTTGATGCATACCACTTGAGGTCCATTTGAAATAAATCTATGGATGTATTTTGTAGATTAGGTGTGTAATATTTTTCTGCCTCGTGCCCTGCGTTAGCAATGACCTAATGTAGCATCTCTGGAAAGCCTTACAATTAACTTGGTCAGACACTGGCTCTTAATGCTTGAAAGGCTGTATCCTGTTCAAGTGCAGTTTCCAGGATGGGATTTGCTGGTGAAGCTGAAAACTGGGCTGTGTTTGAGTGTGAGGGTTGCTAGATAATCCAGATCCCTGTGAGCAGAAAAAAGGCAGCACAGTTGGAGTCTACTCTTGTTCAGTCATTAGGGACCTAGTGACATCTTTTTATAGGACTGTTATGGAGGTGATGCCTCCTCCCTTGTGTAAACTGCTCCTACAAGAGTGTTTTTGTTTGACTCTGAGCTAATGTAATTTTATGTTTTATGACTGCTGGCCACAAGAGGCTTTTAAATACAAAGCATGATGGGTCATTTGGGCTGTATACCCGTTGAATAGATTAAGCATGATAACAACTGCTTGTTTGAAATGGCTGCACACTACAGTAATTAGAAAGTGCTGTTATTGGTTAGCAATTAAGCCTTGATAAAACTAAGGGCTTAAATGTGTTAGCTCACTGCCAGGTAAATCCTAACTTGATTACAGTAGAAGTTTGGTGTACAAACATGAGCATGTTTGTGTTAGGTGAGCTCTGCTGGGCAAGTTGTTGCGTTTTTGGCAGCTGTGTCTTAACGCCCTAGTCATCATGGGGAAACACAGCTAAAATGAACATGGAACATTTGGAAAGGGTGTAGTTAAAAGCCTGGTTTAGTAGATGATGAAGTAACCAAAAATAAACCAAACTGGTAAAAGAAGAAAATAGTAAATGTTCTACTGATTTCCAGATCCCAGTCCTCAGGATTTATGTGGAGGTAGTTTATCTGGGCTGTTGAAGAGATTTTTAGCAATGTGTAGGGGATCTTCATCAGGGATTGTAGTGATAGAACAAGGGGTGATGGGTTTAAACTTAAACAGGGAAAGTTTAAGTTAGAT